TTACTATTCAGATCGTACAAAACAATACAAGAACAACAATGATAACACAGAACCGTGGTGTCTGAAACTACCGTGGGGTCCTGGACCTGCTGGGATGGGCAGCCCGTATTCCTGGGGAACAAGCTGATCAGAAATGGCATTTGCGGTTAAGGTGCTGAGCTTGCCCTCGGGCTGTCTTTGGGACACCTCTTTAGGAACCCAGACAGAAGAAAACAGATTGGCACAGGACACCAGGAATCCTGTGCCCTAGCTCCCAGGATGTGGGGGGACACAACTGGAGGGACCAAAAAAGCCACACTGCATTCTCAGCTCTTATTTGGAATTCCCTCTAGACAATTCACCTCCAAGAGCTGGCTGCTGAGGGTGGAGTAGGGGAAGGGTTTCTACTAACATACACAAGCCACCAGCCTCTCCAGGAACAATTTCCAGCATCTTCGGTTGACAGAGCAGAGAGTGGGGGTCTCTACACCTTCTGAACAAATGAAATCCCTCTGAAGGGCCTTGGGCAGACAGCAGAATTGGCCTCTCATGCCTGTCTTCCTTGCCACAAGGCCCCAGACATCCCCAGGACATGAGGAGAGCACTTTCCCTGGGCTGATGTTGGTCCCCTCAATGCTGCAGCCAGGCTCTGTGTTTAGAGGCCTAGGAAGAGTCCCGGTGTGGCAGTGGAGTCTGGTGCACAGGTGAAAGGCTTAGGCTGGCCTGCGGCCAAGTAACATTTCCAACGTGCCTCATTAATACACTCACGGAGGGACTTCTCAGTGCCTTTGGGACTCAGAACAACAAAGAAGGTGAGAGGAGGGGCTCCGATGTCCCCTCACAGCACCAAAGTGGGTCAGGAACCTGGAAACGCCTCCACTGGAGGAGAGAAGCCTCCAGCAAACAACTTTGGAAAAGGATAAACACTCAACTCCTGGAAAAGGGCAAATGTCCTGACCTGCAGGACAGAAGCAGACCCCAAAGGGCGCCGCTCAGGGCCGGTCCTTTTGTTCCAGTTCTAGCGGGGCCCCCTGCACCCTCTGTAGCCACCTCTGCCTCAGCTCGGTGATTTCCTGGCCGTACCAGCTGTGCAGGGTGGAGAAGCAGGAGGTCTCTGGGGACACGGGGCTCTGTCCCTTTCCCAGGAGGAGGCTAGCCGGGCTCTGCCACTGCCCCTCGGATGAGGCCCACCCCTCCGCCAAGGGCCCCAGGCTGCTGTCCTTGGAGGGGGAGTGGCCGTTCTCCAGGCCCGGAGACCAGCGCTCAGGACAAGGGGGTCTACCATGGCTGGCACCGGTCTTGCAGGATGCTCGGCGGCACAAGGCCAGGCTCTGGCGGGCCTCCCGCAGCTGGCCCTCCAGCTCACGCACCACCAGGCGTATGTAGCCGAAGCTGGCCCGGGACAGCGCTTTCACCCAGGCCTCCTGGGCCGCCGGTCCATCCGCGGCCAGCACGTAGGGCCGCACGCCGGGGGCGTTGAAGCGGATGGCGAAGGCGAACTCCTCGGGCGCAGGGGCCTCGGCCAGCTCCACCGTGCAGCCCTCCAGCACCACCAGGCTCAGTGGGGCGCGGGCCTCTCGGCTCTCGAAGGAGAAGAGCAGGTTCCCCTTGAGCACAAACCAGCACCTCCGCCCGGAGCCGCTGGCTGTAGGTGGGGTCCCCGAGCCCCCCCATGCGCGCAGGAAGCCTGTGTGGTCCGCCGGGGAGTCGCTCACTGCGTAGTGGGCCACACTTCGCTCGTTCAGCTTCATGGTTCCTGCTGGGGAGAGAGGTGGCCGCAGACCAGAGGGGCAGCTGTTCCCTGCAGGGGGGTGGGGGGGAAGAAAAGCACAGCAGGTTGGAGGAGATCACCCCAACTCACCAACTGCAGGACCTGAGGCCTTAATGTCTCCATCTGTGAAATGGGCCAAGTCTACCCTGCCTCCTGCCTCCTCTCACTAAGTGTTGCTAGGGGTGTCATGAAAACCGAAACTCGACGCAGAAGACCCAGAGGAAAGGATGCTAGCCTGAGAGGGATGGCCAGGCTGCTTCAAATGCAGAGAAATGGGTTCCACTGGTCTGACACGAACCAGTCTCAAAAAACAGATGTGTTAGGGAGCTCTGGTGGCCTAGCGGTAAGAAGCTGCACTGCAATCCCAGAGGTATGCGTTCAAATCCACTAGAGGCTCTGCTGGAGGAGGGGCAATCTCCTCCTGTACCAGTCAGATCCGATTTGACGGACACACACACAAAAATAATAGGATTTTTTTTTTAAAAAAAAGGATGAGTTTAAACCATCTCATCTGGGGACTCCTCGGAGGCTAAACACAGAGGCTAAACCTTGACCCCTGGGGTGCTTTCTGGTCCCTCAAGTGCAGACGCCTATCTGTCCATTGGTAAGAGTCCACAGCCTTCAGGGTTGGCTCCAGATGACCTCATTCCTCTATGGCGTGGGCTTGCTTAAGAAGCTGTTCTGAGGATGCCTGTGTCTGTAACATAGGCCTTGGCTGAAAGGACTAGCCACAACCTAAAAACATCGGTACCCCAAGGACCATAAATGGCACCTAATTCCACTGTCCCATTTTACTTGTGGAAACTGTGGTCCAGAGCCGGGATGATAAACCATCAAAGATCACAAGATCAAGCTTGGTCTCCAGATGTCCTTATACCTTCTGGCTAAGAGATCAGACTGTGACCCCACTTACCAATAGAATTAGATGAAGGAAGGCAAGAGCCTCTTGTCTGGCTCGCCCATCACCCTTTGATCATGTGGTTCCCAGGGGGCCTGCAAAATAATTCTCAAACCAGTAAAACCATCTGAAGAAACGAGAACTATTTGAAATGCCTACCACAGATCAAATAGCCTTCAATATGAATTGCACCTCAACATCAAAAAGACAAAAGTTATCACCACTGGACTGATAGGCAACATCAGGACAGATGGAGAAAAGATCAAAGTTATCAACAATTCCATCTTAGATCCCCAATCAACACTCTTGGTACCAGCAGTCAGGAGATGGATTGCATTGGGCAAGTCTGCTGTCACGGACCTCTCCAAATTACTAAGAAGGAGTGATGCCAGAGGAGGTGTGCCTAATTCAGGCCACGGTCTTTCCAATCACTTGCTGTGCATCTGAAAGCTGGATAATTAATAAGGATGACAGGAGAATTGGTACCTTTGAACTCTGATATGAGAGAAGAGTGCTGAGTATCCCAGGGACTTCCTAAAGAAGGAACAGGTATGTCTTGGAAAAAGTGCAGCCAGAATGCTGCTGGGAGGCAAAGATGGCAAAGCCTCGCCTCTCCTGCTCTGAGCATGTTGTGAGGAGAGGTTTTTCCTAGGAGAGGGACATCATACTTGGAAAGGTGAAGGGTCAATGAAGGAGAGGAAGGCCCTCAATTAAATCGATTGACACAGTGACTGCAGCAATGGGCTCAAGTGTGTCAGAGATGATGAGGACGGCACAGGATTCAGGTCTACTGTTCACAGAGTCACTACGCGTTGTACTCCAGAGCACCTAACAACAACAGCACATCCTTTGGGACCCAGTAAAACCTCTACCTCCTCCAGGAAGCCGCCCTTCATCCCTGGCAATCACCACCACTTCCAGGCTAGGGATCTGCGCACACTCACTCAGTGTAGAACTCCACCACAGGACTTCCTAGACGGAGGTCTAAGCATCGTGAGAGCTTCATCACCGTTCCTCCAGGGCTCGTTAGGCCAGGCACCTAAGAGCTCTTCAGTGGAGGAGTTGAGTCCTACTGTCTACATCTTCACGTCCCAATCCCCTGAAGCCTGGTCAGACTGCTGGCACAAATCTCGATGGCTTCCGCCACTCGTCTGTCGGTTCCTCACAGAGTGGTGGCTGCATGTGGGGATGGTGGAAGCTACGTCACTCAGATTTCAAATACTAGGCCGGTTCATCCATGGTGGTGTTTTAGTTGAGTTTCCAGATTAAGACTAGGAAGAACCTGGTGATACTGTTCTCTTTAAAAATGGCTAAAGATACTAGATACTAGGACAAGCATTTGACATTAGATCTCAACAATACCCATTTTCACTTATATACAAATTAAAATTAAAGGTAGATGTAAGAACAGTACTCATTTGTAACCTGGGACTGCTTGTATACAAAAGGTCCACACCAACCACTGATGCCAAAGATTAAGAAACTGAAGAAAAAAAGAAATGTTTGCCACTTTCTAAAATCTGAAAAGGAGTTCCGGTGACCTTGTGAGGAAGGAGTTGCAGTGCCAAGCCCAAGGCTCAATCCAGTTCAAATCCACCAGCTGCTCAGCAGAAGAAAGATGTGCAATCCCCTCCCATGTCATGTAAACCCAGTGGAGGAGGGTCAGCTATGAGTTGGTTCCGACTTGACAGCAATGAGGTGGAAAAGTCTGAAACTGATCAAACATGCAATCGAGATGCATTGATAATCACTGGTGATAATGACTGGTGACGCAAAAGTTGGAGACAAAGAAGAAGTGGTGGTTGGAAACTTTGGCTTTAGTGATAGACATGACACTGGAGATTGCATGACTATTTTGCAAGCTCA